AATGTGTTAGTCAAACTGAACTAAAAAATATATCTGCATTATGTATCATGTATGGTACATAATATTCCTATATGGTCCTCCTACACAAGCAGCTGTTACCAAGTGGTTACTTCTGACAGAAAGTAAACCAGTCACTGCAGTGTTCAAAGTGATACTATTAATGAAGCCCATCTACAATGTACGTACCCACTACTTACTTTCTTCTTCACAAGGCAATGTATGTTTATCAAAAGTAAACTCTTTCTATATACACATTGAATAAAAATAACCACTGAAACAACTCAAAAAGCCATTCACTTATTGCATACATGGGTGAATTGGAAGTCTCTAATCCGCTTCCTATTTACCTAGCTGAAGAAGTTACATAATAAATGTAATAATATGTGTGTTATAGTACCTCCAGACACACTGACGTACGGCAAACACACAATAATGCATTATCATAAATAGTTACAAGAATAAAATATGTGTATCAAGAGATTCTAGATATCTGTTATTCAACTTTAAAAAGTTGAGGATCGGATTCAATAACCTAATGTACTCTCCAGGCATATCCATTGTAAATAGGCTACATTTACTTTAGTACCCCAAAATGATTTCTCCAGACAATGTAATCCGTCTCCTTGCCTCCATCTCTTTTATTCTACACAGCAGATAACAGGCAGAGCTGAGATTCGACATACTTCAATATTTCTCGCGTCATATTTTCCGTACCTCGCCCAAAGGAATTTTCAGGGGCTCTTAAAATGCCTCTTTTTTGTATTTAACCTGTGTAATTACTGTAAATTCTGCACAGATAGAAATGTTGTACTGATTCATGCTCTTTTTTTAATTTTTTTAACTTGTTTTTTTAAGAAGGCAAAATGTATTTAGCACAATTAATGGTTTTTATATCCACAAGCATTTAAACTCTGTACATACTGTGTTAAATGACCAGGTACTTCTCAAGTTATTACAATACAACAGGCAAAATTGAACTGACATATACAAGTCCCCCCCTCCCATAACTAGCAACATATATATACATGCATACAGTAGCATCAGGTGACAGCAGCAAAAGAAGTATGACCTACCTAAATTGCAAAAACTACAGGTTATTCATTGCATACATCATTACATTTGTATTTTTAGATTAATGCATGACAAGAATTTGAAAGAAATAGTTTGTAAAAACTTTGGTGAAGAATAGTTTTCATTTTATTATGTCATGACTCAGTCTTCTCAAAATTCTCATTTCCTGCAACACTTGTGGGAAATTATTATCAGTGAAATGGTGTTTATGTAAAAAAAAAAACATGCTTTAGAGTGGAAAGCTAAAGATTGTGTTCTATTTGGATCAGACAGTTTATCAATACCAGATACGAGATGTCACTGCAATATTTAATATTCCGCATATTTGGTTTAATGTAACAAATGTTCAAGTAGGGGGCAAATTTATCCCCCACCTCCATCATGTTCATAAAATTTAAATTTGCACAATGAACTCTTCTTGGGATGCAGAGAAAACTTCTTTTTACATGTTTATCGTTGCTATCTTTATACAGCACAAAAATTCTTCTCCATGGCTTACACTTAATAACACTTCACTAAATTTTAGGTTGATTATCCCATCTTCAGGTGTTCTTTGTTCAACTCGCAAGCACTTCCACACTTGCATATGCTGGGTAGTGGTGCATCTGAAATAGGGCTGCAAACCATTATCCAGGATACGCAAAAATGTATTACTGCATGAAAAATAAACAAGGAACACATGAAGATGAGTTCATCAGCCCAAAACATGTAGTGATGAGTATGTCGTACCAATGGTTTTGTTCACAAAACTAAAATTTCTTGTTTGTTTTTTTCAGAAGGTACAAAAATTAGAGGTTTCAATAAATATATATTCATATTTCTAACAAATGTCTAATATTCTACCATTTTGTTCTTTATGTCACCCAGTCTTTTGCAGCAAGTAACATCTCTGCGCAGATACTTCTATTTTCGATAAAGAAAACACCATCTTCTTTAAAAATGGGAAAGAACTTCATCTGACGTGACATAACAACCTGAAAACATCTTACCAATAATTATCATGAGATATTAAAACATACCAACACACTGGGTATACAATATGATGAAATACAAATACCTGGTATCAGTTACGGTGACAGAATTATAGAATAGAATCTAAAATATAATAAATTCATTCATTCCAAATCCTGCATGATGAATAAAAGACAAAATTCTGCTTTTATTTTTTGCATATAAGTAACAATTATAATAAAATCAATAGTAATTTTGAGACATTAACATTGCACAGGTTTAATGTAATTAATTTTTATACTGCAAAATGTGATATTTAGAAAAGTAAGACCAAGGATCACAGCATTCCATATATAACATTTCTCATTTGATGTGCTACAGCACTGTGCCCTATGCTGTAATTCTCATGTATATATCAAAATGTTGCTGCATGCAGAATTGTTCTATAGTTGTAAAATTTGGAATTATAAATACACCCTATTATAGAAAAGAATGTATAAAAACATTTTTATACACTGAATATATTTGTTTTCTTAAGGAGCATAAAATAGATAAAATAATTAAGGTTATGATCTATTCTTAGAAGAACATACATAGTATATACTATGTATATACTAAGTATGAATGTGTGATCTTTACAATAAAAATTATTCATTTACTGTAGCATAACAGTTTATACTTATATATGTATTAAGAAGGAAAGGTGGGGAAAAATAAATTAAAATTAATCTTCAAAAGACTTTTCTACAACTAACCATACCATTTTGGTATTCTAACAAACCCACAAAACACCCACTATAAAAAATTGATTGCAATAAACAAGCCCTGTAGAAATCACTAGGCTCAAAATATTCTGATATTAAGTTAGTGCATTTACAATTAAAGTTGCTTTGTAAAACCAACTGTATTTTTCTGGTGGGAAAAGTTGCATGTCTGTACTACATGCATACTGCTCGTGGCAAACAAGTATCCACTAAATAAAACATCATTCCATTTTGAATTGTTAAGTATCACTAATATTTATCCAAACATACAAAATCTCTAATAATGAAGTAACACTAAAATATTTTAAGTGTTCATTTCTGATAAAATAATACATAAAACAATAACCAAATTGCACAGGGATGTTACAAAAACATGTTATATTTCTATTTCATGTAACTCTTCTGTATAGATCCCTTTACCTTAGTTTGATCATAATTATTTCAATATCATAACTCATTCTCATTTAATATAACAAACAAATGAAGCCATAACATACAAGAAATACTGTACTATTTGGATAAATACTTTTTTCATAAGTTTTTCAAAGGCTCTAAGCATCTCTACATAAATTATGGGTGAAGATCCAGTCATCATACATATTCTTCTCTTCTGGACAGATACAAATTTAGTTGGAGAAATATGGTTGTGCATTTTGTCAATATGTAATTAAGATTATTAAATACCCATCAAAATAATGTGGTATATTTATTGAAAAATAAACTTTGCATCTGAAAGTATACATTTACTATAGTAAACTGAATAATCCTTATAAGCTTGTTAGAAAATACCACAAAATGAAATTATGAGCCAGCTTATAATTTTTATGTGGTGTACCAATCAGTGTGGTGTATTAACAAGAGACTGCAAAAGGATAAGCATCAAAATGTGGATGTCATATTAGAATTCAATATAATATCCTGAACAATAGAACAGAAGAGCAATGAAGTTCCAGGACATTCCAATACTGTCACTAACGAGATATGGTGATGCACTCCGTACTTCTGGTACTGCAGTACTGGAACGATTTCATTATTTAAACACAGGCATAATTGGGGAATTGAAGTATGTGTGTTTTTTAATAGCATTAGCATATGCATATGTAACTCTCACTCACTCACTCTCTCTCTCTCTGCAAAGATTAAAACATAATAGTCATAAATATACCAAGTTTTTGATAGGGCATACATACTAATGAAAGCAAACCAAAAGTTTAAAACCATAGCCGAGAACTGTCACTATATACACAACCTAATTCCCCAAATAACTGAATGTCCACTTGATACATGAGAAAACCTCATTTTACTTCATGGCATTTCAATGGAACTATCATTCTTTCCCATGTCTCTCTTGTCATATATTTGTATGTGTTTATTATTTAATTTAGTAACAATTCATTGTAATATTAAATTTAATAGAGGTGTACACACATCCTGTTAGAAACACAAAGAAGTTTGGAAGCAGAAGCTGTTTCATAATATATTCACTAACAGGTACTTTGCTTTCCAACTAACCCTTCAACTCGGCCACTCTTAGAAGAACACCAACTTCTGCACTATTACATGATAAAGAAATGAATGGTGACAGATTAATCAATTATTCAAGAAATCATTTAAGGTAGGTGCATACACCATACGGCAACAGAAGATAAAAGTACAAGCTCAAAGTGCTTAAAGCATACTGCTGTATTACCAGAGTCAGATATGGTAGGCTGGACAGAACACCAGTATGGAAGCAGGTATTACAATGACTGTGTTAATTTACATTTCACGCAACAAACAACTCAAGTCATGCAGTTTTTCAAATAAGTATATATATATAAATTTTAATATTTCGTGTTCATGAACGAACGTAAGAAGTCAGCTTCTAGGTTATGATTCAAATACCTGCTCCTGATGGCAACAGAACCAGAGTGCCCCCGCAAGGCAAATACAGAATTACCTGACTACAAAGCAATTTCATGAATTTCAAGATATTATATGAATATTCTGGCTCAAAGGCTTTAATTTGAAAGAGTCAGATTCTTTTCATTGTAAATTTTATTAAAAATTCAGATATTAAAATAAAACAAAATTTAAAGTTGAATATTGTTATCCTGAGGCTAAATACAACACCAAACATTTATTTGGGCTGTAGTACAAAACTGACTCTAACAATACATGAATTATTGTGAAGAAAATTATTATTCGCACATAATCCTAAATTATCATCATTAATAAAATCATAACAGTAGTTGTTATATGAAGGCAAAATTATTACAGAATCCAGCATCAAATGCTGTAACAATATTAGGCACACATAATGCTACTGAACAGAGTGTGTGCTTCAGGCAGAATGAAACACAGATGAGTGAATTGAGATTTAAAATATGGCTGGTCAATTGATTAACGTTTTGGTTACTGTTGGTGCTGTTTCAATTGCGGAAGTCACATTTCACCGAATTAAATGAGAAGATTATCATGAATCGTGAGAGTTAACCAAGATCTATTTCAAAGTACTGTCCATGATCTGTTTGGGAAGATGAACTGGATCAATTTTATTTCTAACAGTATGTTACAAATGTGTGCATCATTTGAGACAGTTGTAAATTTAAACAACGCCTGGTTCAATAGTCAGTTGACTGGTTGTAGGATCATAGTATCCAGCGAGATAGTAGATGTCATTGTTGTCATACACTGTTGAGTAACGCTGTGGTTCAGAACCCAGTCGACCTGTGTACCCCTCCAGCGGTAGTACTTCACATTTGTGGGAGATCGTTTGCACATCATTTTCATCAACATGTGGAGACTCAAAGAGTGCCCCCTAGGTATAAAACAATTAGCATATTAGAATATTTGGTTTCTTGTTACCATATATTTTCACTGAAAATCTTATATAAAGTAACTTTCATACTTTCTGTAACTATTCTATTATTGCTATTACTTAAACACATACAAGAACTATGAAATACAACTGTATTTGACAGCTTTCATTGGTGCTCATATATGTAAATTCTCCTAGCTCTTATCCAAGATCAATGATGATACCAAAGATGAAGATAAGTACCTGAGTATAGGAAGATTCGAAGCCCTGTGACTACTGCTGTATTGCAGCATAAACTCTTTTGAGGTTTTCATGGCAGTGAGTCTGAAGATGGCTGTCTTCTGCATCGTCGTGCTGTGTAGTCTGGTAGAAGTCATTACATGGTGCAACAGCCCAGAAGACAGCCATCTTCATAAATTCTTTCTTTAAAATTAATACTGAAATAACCATCAGCTACAACTCATATTAGTTATATCTTACAATTCCATATTGCTGTATTTTGTGTAATACAGTAGTAGAATTAATTATATATATCCAATGTTAAATTTAATATAAAATTCTGAATAATTAGTACAAAGGTATGGAAACTATTTCTAATTCTATTATTCCGCAGTCTCTCATACAATTTTCATCTTTAACAGCGACATATCATAACTTATGCCTTTGGTGCTCTGTTTAGCACAGCATGTGTACAGTATCTCACAAATTACTATAAACTGAGTACGTGAACAAAGAGTATGTTATTAAAGACAGCACTTTGAATGAATAATGTTGCTGATCTCATCATAACAAAGCTACATGCCCCAACGTTTGGTCATTAGAAAGAAAAGTTTGTGTGGTATTTGAGAAAAGCACGGTATATTTATGGACAAACATGGAACAATCAGATGAAATGACTTACCGGGTACTGCAGTTGTGCAGGGCAGCCATTAGTCTCCTCTGGATGGTAAAACCATTTGACACGAACCACCATGTTAGTACCCCAAGATTCCCACATGGACTCAATGCGACCGATGTACGGTCGATCAGGTCGTCCAGTCGACAAGAAAACAGCACAATCGCCCACCTGTACAGCATAAATAAAATATAAAAAATATATATACAACTATATAATGATAGTTTCACTGATACTTGTTCAAAAGTCAGTATAAGTACACTAAAACATTACTAAGCAAAACAAAAGTTACTGAAATAACTGCACTTACAACTACAAGGAATAATTGGTCCATTCACAGAATACAGACAAACTAATTTTCAACTACAATGTACTTAATATACATGTACAAGTTACTACTCACCCTAATAGTCTCCTTGCCACGTTGAATGGCTTTATAGAATTCCTTTTTACCCCGTCCCTTTGCCCCTGGCCGTTTAAATCCCCGTCCTGACCAGCCCCAAAGCTGTCGAGCTGGCAGAAACGCTGCCATTTTACTTCGGCTCTCTACTGAAGGCTGCCTGTCCCGCCCCTTCTTTGGTTTGACAACTTCTTTTACTTTCTGTATAAAAATAAAGAGAGTAATCACAAATATGTGGCAGTGCAGACAAAGGATACTAGACAAAAATGCATTCAAGTCACACAAGCAAAACATCTTCGGTAGAAAAGCATTTTTTTATGCCCTCAAAATTTCTGAGGACCTTAGTGGACCAATTACTTTTTCTGCCTGTTATTCAACAATTGTAATACGCTACAGACTAAACATAAGAATAAAGAAGTTAGTGCAATACACTTAATTTGTTCCGGATGTATCGCAGAACGTATGTGTTGTTTATATAATTTCATTAATTTTATTTCATAATCTTTTAAAATCCCTGGTGCTCCTTGCACTACCTAAATGAAGCCCAACAATCAACCGCACTCTGGGACCTTCTGTTGCAGGAATTATACTTAACTGGTGTTCTAGTAAATACTATCCTGTTTTCCTTGCTATGCATTTTTCACCCACTACCTTACTCTGCTAAAAGCAAAGGTTTCTTATGAAAAAAGTGTGCACTTTGTAACATTTATTTTGAATGAACCACTAGCCCTACAATTTCAACATTTTCTAATTTTCTAAGTACACTTTTCCTTAACTATCAGTTCTATGTCCCGCGCCGTAGCCGCGCGGTCTGAGGCATCATGCTTCGGACCGGCAATACGGAATGCGCGTTGGTTCGAGTCTCGGGGGAGAAGAAATTTTCGCACGAGCTTTCGACCGGTGTATGGGACCGATGCCAACCCCAGCATCGTGAGGAAATTGGGGAGCTACAATGGGTAGCGTAATCCGATCAGGAAAACTATCAATGGCTGGGGATTCGTCGTGCTGACCACACGTCACCCTATATCTGGTTGGATGATCGTTCACCTCTGCTTAGGCATGTGAACGTGAGGCCAGCAGTCAAGCTAGTCGGCTTTGGCTCTCTGGAGTTGTTACGCCACGGATTTAATTTAATTCAATCAGTTCTATAAGTTTCTCTCTCTGTTACCAACAACAAACTCACCTTCACTTTCTTGCTGTCTGCTGTAGAAATGACAGAATTGTCTGCTGGTTTTGGTGGATCTGCTGTTGTATCAGCTGCCACTTCTTGTTCATGTTCAGTTTCACTGTCAGAGTCATCAGCATCTGTTGCAGTTGCTGTTGACTGGATTGTGTTTGCTGTTGCTGCTTGTGCTGTTGTCACTGTTTCTGGGGATTGAGTCGTGACACTTGCGTCTACTGCAGCTTCCTGTTCCGTGGTCAGATGTCTTATTGCTGTCTGCTGGATTTCCAAAATGTCAAGCTGCTCCAGTACTGGAGACAGTCTTGACAGGGCATCACCATCAGCAACACCTACAGCACAGGATTCACTCTAATTATTTACAACACATGACAAAGTGGCAATAGTAATTATCAAAAATAACAGGCAAATGAACCTATAAAGGTAGCATTAAAAAGAAGATTCCTGCCTGCTGCTTACATCTACTGAATGCAGTGTCAATTACTCTGTGGCTAGAGAAGCCAGTCTGGATTTGGGCATGACTGTGATTGGCATTTCATTAAAATGAATTTATAAGTGACCCACTCAACTTTTGCATAACCAATAAGTACAGCAACTTATAAAAACAGATATGTATTAGGGACACAAACATTTAAATTCCCACAAACATCCCATTCTTTCTTTCAATTACAGCACTTCTTTTAATTATGCACAAAAAAGTAAAGTTGATACAATGTATAATTAATAGTGAAGCACAACAGGGTGGAGAGCATGCATCACTGTAAATACATACCTGGTCTTGAGCCTGATTCAGCTGAGGAAGAGCCAGAGCTGGAGTCTTTGGTGTGATTACTGTTGTGATTTCGATGGCGGTGTTTCCGATGTCGCTTATGGTGCCGCTTGTGTCTGCAGTGCTCCTCTCCACCACTACATCGATGTTTTCTCCTATGCTTCTTCAGCCCAACTGTGAGAATGCTCTCGCCTGTTACAGAAGCCAACAGACGCTTCAGTTTCTCCCGTCTCCTCTTCTTCAGACGTTTCCGCTCACGGCCACTACCATTGATACTACTTCGATCACTCACCTGAAACATGATCATATCCAAATGGAAGAGTTCCAAGTGACATACTTCTTTTACAGATTCATTCATGATTAATTTATAGGTTCATTCACAATTAAAAGTTGAAAGTGCACCTATTAGCTTCAACCTGTCAATATGTCTGTCCATTTGTCCACATGTAAGAACCATAAAAGAGCTGAATGGATTTTCATGACATTTAATACAACTAAAATTTGTCGACACATACCAGTTTTGGTTAAAACTGCATTTTACATAAAGACCAAGCAAAATGTGACTTCTGGTTGCAATAAATGTGATAGAATCTTATTGTCTGAGCCATTATCAGCTTCTTGACAATCCTGATCAATAAGTTAATAAATTATGGGTTTTCTAGTATTTTTGGAAAATCATTTACAGAAAGAGAAAATTTTACTCTGTACAGGCAGGATATAACAAACATATTTACTTACCTCAGTCTTTCCTGCTGCATCACTGTCTGTCGGAATTCTGAGAGTCTCAACTGTAGGGCTGAAAGTACTTGTTTTTGTAGTACTCACTGGCCGTGTTGTGCAAGACACCCTGCTGTTGCTTCTGGATGTTGAGCCAGTTTTAGAATTAGGCCTTGCTGGCACCTGCTGCTTTCTCTCAGAACTCTCTGCAGTGTTTCTATCAGCAGCTGATGGAGATTCTTTAGTTTGAGGGACCTATACATACAAGTGCATGTAGTGAGACAGAGTCCAGTTTGGGGTGCAAATACTTTCCAAATGCATTATTTGTAACATTGCATGCCTCACTGGCCTTAATGTTTATATACTGCGGAAACAAATCCAATGCTGCAAAGTTAATCATATTACTGATATACTGTCCAGAGTAAGAAAATATTATTTTTCCTCTTATTTTATTAACTTTTATTGACTGTGCATTGCAGTGTATATAAACAAAATCTCTCCTTTACAAATGTATTTTGTACACTTTGTGCAAATAATTCATATAAATTCTTATCTTTTATATCCAAACAGATATCATAAGGTGAAGAACTTATGAACAGAAGTTAGGAGTCAGAATGATAAACTGATTTATGATTTGTACTAATACTGATTTATTAACAAGAATGCTGTACTTTGTATCTGCAGATTACAGATTCCTCTATTATAGAATACTCTATGATAGACACTATCACCAGACAATACTGCGCCAAAAATTTACTTCAGCTATAGGGCTTAATTCACACAATTAAAGGATAAATGTGGATTTGAAAAAAAAACTTTATTGTAAAATGAACCAGAACAGCATCAGTGAAAGTGATTGCCTGACCACTGCCAAACTCCAAGCAGGGACACAGACTTTTCTCTTTGCCACTGCATTCATAATACCTCTGAAGCCTACACAGCCTGTTATGCAATGGGTAATGTGCATTCTTTTGTATGAATAAGATAAGATACAGTGGGCAATAATTGTCTGTGCATGAATTATTTGTGCACAGAAAGGAGCACTAAATTCAGCCACTGGATCACTGTCCATGCCACATAAGTTGCATTGTCTCTGTTTTCTGCAGAAAGTGGAAGGTCATGTTACAAATGCTTGCTCAGAGCCTGAATCATGTGACACTACTTTTACTAGTTTTCCCCTAACAAACATCATTTGTCACTTAATCTCCATACATTTCACATTACATCATAAGCTGATATTACATGCACATGGTCCCTTTTAAAATAATGCATTTTGACAGTTTCACATGATTTAAAATTAAATCAGAAATTAAAATGTAAACACATTTGTGTACAAATCTACACTTTATTAAACACATGACGCAAAATCATGGTAAAACTTTGTGCTACTGCATCGCACCAGACGTCTTTGCAAGTTTCCTCTATGCTTTAATAATTTGTGACAACTATACAAAGTATTCTGCAAAGTGGGCCATTAAACTTGACAATATAGAAGCTATATGTGCATTGAGAAAAAGTTTGAGAATCACCAGTCTAAAATTTATGGGAAATCTGAAAGTTTCAGAGTTTGCCAGTAAGTTACTTTCCAGACAGATAACCTAACAAACACACCTGTTTCTGTGTAGCTGCTCCACGCTTTACATTATTGTTGTTGTTGTTGTTATTGGTATTTGCTGCTTCAGCACTGGCTCTCCGATCTTTTGAATGACTCTCACAGCTGGCGCCAGAGTTTCTTCGCCGACGCTTCCCCAACATCCATGACGGTTCTGGATCATATTCTGGAATCAAAGAATGGATAACAGTTTCAGTGTTCTTTCTCAACTCTGACTGAATAATCTACTGATTTACTTAATAACTATCTGGCTGACTACCTAATCAAATGACTAAAAGACAAACTGACTTGCTACATAAACGGTGCAAGGATTTTTTAAGCAATTATTGAACTTTATCATCTTCTTCTTCCTTTGCCTCCTCCTGAGAAGTTTCCACCTTAAGTGGATTGTCTAACAACCAAGGTTCTCCATGTACCTCGTATTCCCATGGCTCTGCACTGCATATATTTGAATAAAATCTACCAGTTATACAGATATCTCTTGTTTTTATGGACACTGCAGTTCAACATGTTCACTATTCTACGCCAGAATTTTCTAGTGGTCCCTAGATTGAGACATTACACAAAGATGAAATTATCTTTGTATTCCCCCTCTTTTTATAACCTTGTCTATCTTTGATCTTAACGGCTCCTTAATAGTTTGTGTATTCAGGTCAGCACTCATGAATTACAAGACACCATGCATTTTGGTGTAATGGCAAATGATCCAAACTAATATTTCATTCAGATCTCAAGTGCATCACTGTCTGTCTTCAATGCAGTTTCCTCAGTCTCTCTAGGATGACAGATGGATAGGCCAATACCACTTCCTTCCAAATTCTAACTACTCATTGTTCATTATCATGTTCCCAAGTCATCTGAAATTATACAGCCTCTGAAATTTTGTCATTAGATGTAGTCACTAAATCAATAAATCATCATACTCAAACTGACAAGGTCATACACACTGCCTACTGTGACTTGGCTGAACAATGTCGGCTGTAGAATGAACATGTACGCTCCAAACTAAAAAAAATTAATCCCCTATCTCAAGCTTCTGTCAATGAACAAATGTTTTGTTACTTGACAGTAGTGGTAATACTGGCACTTGCATGTAGTGACTATCCGACAGATCAGGTTAAGATGAAGCATGAAGTCCACGATTAAGAAACCTACCAATAATGGGGTAATCTTTGGGCAAAAGTCGGATGTCATCCAAGTTTATGCGACCACTATCTCCATCATCAAATTCAACATTAACAAAATGCAGATCAAGTTCTGGGTCCGGTGATGATGGTTGTGCCACTGTTCCAGGGTAAAGGCACCTGTACTGCTGACTCCAGTAGGCACACACTCTTGTTCCAGGTGTCAGGTCACTAATATTACTTGGTCGAACTTCCAGTATCTGGAAAGCCAATCATTCCCACTGTTTAGATTCATGTTTTTCAATTTTAAAAACTAGAAAATGAAATTCATTTAGAAATTATCAATAAGTACACAGAAAAGTTAAATAATGTGACTCAAGTGACATGTACCTTAAATTATGCACATGTCAACACCAACTTTATAGCAAAGCTGGAACGTAAGGATAATCTATGGTTTTCCTCCACCTCGCTATTCTGATACTGAATGTCAATAATGGATGCAGATATCCATAATGAATTCATTCTCCCATAATGCTCTATACAAAGACATTCTCCTTATAATCAAGTTTACATATACCTTATGTAATGTAAACTAAATGTTGCATTTTTGAAACAAACCTACACTTATTTTTGTGCCTATAACTAACTAACTAACTAACTAACAAGTTCTTTCTTCTATCCAGATAGAAACTGTGTGAATCCATAACCTTACTTCTACTAACAACAGAACTTTCTTTAAACACAGATATATTGTCTGAATCAAAGAGAGTGGAAGGTCCCAAAGAAAAGCTACCTTTTCTTCCCTTTATTTATTTTTTAACATAAGAAAAAGGACACAGCTGGCTTCCAAAATGGCATGCAACTTTTCATCTTTATTCAGACAGCTAATAATAACCAAAAAATAATTCTCTCTTTAGAGTAATAAACTACTATTATAATTTTATAACCTTTCTCTCTATTGAAACCTCAACTCAAATGTAAACAGAAAATGTGACTTGTTTTTACACAAATGATTTTAAAAATATTTTCTAACCATTCCATCCTTGCCATATAGAAAATATTTCTTTATGCAGCACAATATTATGTTTATAAAACTTACAGCATCCTGAAGAATTCCTTCACGTGAGTAAATATGAGGCCGACTGCCTCTCTCCCCATCAAGAGTGATCCCATATATATCTGGTGCCTGAATTGCAGAGATAGTTCCAGCATAAAAGAGCCCACCCACCACAGTGAGTGCACGTTGCTTCTCAGTGTTCAGGTGCACTTGTGTCAGCTGGCAGGGAGCTGCCAAAGAACAATTTGTCAAATGTAAGCACTCTGCTAAACTATTCTACCACATTTAATAGACTACTGCCCTACGCTTTTCACAGAGATCAACGCACGACTTCAGCTTTTGCATATAAGCAACATCGAATGTTGAGAATTATCCAATCCTTCAGGAAACAATGCAGTTACCATCTTCAGGGTGAATGAGCAGAGGATGGGAATTTTTGGAAGCATAATAGAGGGCAGCCTCCAACCAGCACCATTAAATTTAATTTGCCACCTACTCTGTGGGAATCTACATTGTACCTAGCACCCCCAAAGTTGTTGGTGTATAATTCAAGTTATACATAGTATACAATCTACATCTAAAATAAATTAAATAAATTACATTACTGATTATTCAGTGTTTATCATATTCTTTTTAAATTTCACGTACCCCCTACGATGTCTTCGCGTACCCCAGGTTGAATACCACTGCTATAGATCACTGAATCGATCCTCAGCCAATGTGCTAAATAATATTGGTGGAATGAATCAACCATTGTGACAGACATTTAGAGAATTCTGTTTTAAAATGTCCCTTTAACATACACTCAACTAAACAGATTTCCTGAAATTCTTCAGTAACTCAGTGGTGTTTCTCACCAGTGGGCAGCGCAGACACTGCTGCCACAGCAGCAGCTGCAGTCTGTTTGCTAAGGATGCTCAGGGGGATGTCCTCACTCTCACTGCTTGCCGTCCCTTGTCCAGAGGTTGGACTACTCCTCTTCTGTCTCTTGGTGGGGGAAGAACCATCACATGAGTGCTTGGCACGTTTCTCCCGAACAGATTTTCCCTTTCTGGAAGGTTTACTAGCAGGAGCTGCCGCTGTTGCTGCTGTTGTTGTTGTTGTGGTTGTGATTGTGGTTGTGGTTGCAGTGGTAGTGGTGATGGTGGCTGTAGTGAAATTTGTGCTAATGGTGGTTGCTGTTGCTGCAGAAGTTACTGCTGTTATCACAGACTTTGAATCACTGCTATTGCTGCTACACTTTCGTTTCCTTGATCGAGCAACGACTTCTGATGCCGATGTTGTGGTAACTTTTGCCATAGGTTTCTCCATCTGAAGTTAAAAGCATATGTTAATCACAATCTGTCATTTACATGACTACTTATTTTCGCTTCTACACTTTTATTACATAATTCACAGAATCTATACAACATAACTCTAACAATAACACCCACTCTGTTGGAAATAGCACGATTGATTGGGCCCAGCAGAGACAGACTCCAGCCTCCAGTCTCCAAAATATTGTCTTACTTCAATTAAGATAATGGATAAGGCCCATAAATTTTGTTATTTTAATAATACACCATCATCGCAAAACTTCAGATTTAATTCTAAGAAAAATAAAACTAGATCACTGACATCACATTCAAATTGTGTTATCCATTCTACTCTCACCTTGACTTCTGATTTCTTTGCCCAACATGTCTGGCTCAGAACAGCAGCAGATGTGACAGCAGGTTCCACAGCTTTCACCTTGCTGCCAGACCATTCCATCGGCACTGTATCTTCATCCTCACACCATGACCATGTCTTCACTTTAGCCTCTGCCTTCAGTTTTGGACGAATCTTATTAGGTTTCCTCTCTGACAATGCCAGACATGTTCCATTTCTCTTGTTCACAACGCCACTACTCTCACACCCTTTTCTACCACCAATCTTAGTAAAACCATTAATCTTAACAGAGTTGCTTCCACTCTCCAAGTAATTGTTGGCATTATTTCTACTAGAATTTATGAGTGGTTTGTTGTACAAATTTGTGCCATCTGAAGAACTGCCATTCGATTTATGAGATGTAACAACTCTGCTACCGTAAGATGGAACAGAACTATCAACATGAGAATTTGTGAGGGGTTTATGCGATACAGAATGAGCAGGTTTGATGTGGAGAGGTTTGGCATGCCGAGACTTGGATAGTAACAGTCCGACTAGACTGCTCTTTGACTTGGGTTTCTTTGCAACTATTGTCTCAGTTGCTATTTCTCGACCTGTCACAGAGAAATGTTTCTTTGGCCGGCCCACTTTCCGCTTTTTTGATGACGACGACGTTGAAGAAGTCGATGATGATGAAGAGAGACACGGGGGTAGAGAGGGTGACAGAGGTGGTGGGGACAGAGAAAGCTTTGGCTTGTGGTCTTCCGAGATCTATGAGATAGAATAAAACACAGAAAGTCTTATTAGTGAGGTAAAAAGAACAAGGAACTCCTCAGGTTTATATTATATTCCAGAAGGGGTGTGACATGCTATCAAATATAACAATTCTGAGTTTTAAACAGTTTCATATTTCAAGAACCCCAGTTCAAACATTAAACTGGGCTATGAATGCAATGTCATTAACAATCATTCAATATTAAAATTATTCTACCATTATAAAATGTCCAAGTAAACACAAACCCTGCCATTTAATATAAAATTTCTATCTTGATTAAGTTTCAAAATCTGGCACAGAGAAAAAAAATTATTCTAAACTTTTGTGTGAATGCATGTACATGGTGAAACATACCAAACTGGTGATAAAGCAGCAAATTTATTCTCTCAGTTTGCCTATTATAACCTAAAAGTTAGTGAAACGGGATGAATTATAACAAAGTCAGTCTTGGTTATTTTCAGTGTCTTAGAAATATTGGTAATAATGTATACAATTTCATTGCCATATTACTAACAAAAGAAATCCCTCCAGCAGGAGGCAAAGCAAGTTTTGTCAAATTTGATAATTAGTTAAATACATGCCTATTGAACACGAAGTCTAGAGATGGAGTCTATATTTATGATTCTCATACCTCTAGTGATGGAGAACTTTGTTCCTGTTGCTGAGATTTGGAAACACTTGATTTGCTTGAAGCAGTTTTGAACCAGAATAAAGAATCACTCTCCCCTAAAATAAAACACAACATAACATTCTTAATATTGAAATAAATATTTTCAGTATTCCAATCTCATTTAATGAAATTAAAAAACAACAGAGCACTGTCATTCTTAATTACATGTCATAAATACAGTGCTACTCATTTGAAGTATGTTTAAAGATTATTCAAACTTATTTAATATGAAATGTGGGTTATGTTATAAATGGCTTTACTGTCATAACAACTGTAACCCAGTAGATATAACATGTAAATTTAGGACAAAAGTACACACAAAATATGTGTGTGGAAATAAATTTGAACTGTAAAAAGCACTTCATGCATCTTCTGAATTACCGCTGTACTTTAAAGTGAAATGATATCTGAAGCACTTCAGTTAATACTCAGCAATTCCTTGAAAATCCAACACAAATTAAACCTGAAATAATGCTTAATTATAAAATCAAAATCATGAAAGTCACAGAAAATGGCTTTGAATATACGGTTTGTGTGTTTTTACTGAAAGTATCTGAGAACAGAATATGCTGGCATTATACAAGTATTTTTCCAATTTTATTCAATAATGTTTTCTCAGACATAAATAAATATAAAATTGTGAAGCACTTCTTCATGAACTGCAGCCCATCACAACGCAGTCTTGAAATAATTATAACACAAATCAAAGTAAATATTCACAATGGGTCAATACTCTTTCATGCTAAAAATATACAAACACTTGTGTACAATGAGCAAGACGAAGTATGTTGCCATTCATGCAATTTGGTAGACTCACCTGACATGAGGGTGAGGTGTGCTGGGGGTTTCCAGCCAAATGTGTGGCCGGTTGGGGTGGACAAGGCTGGAAACAAGCAGTTGCCCTACGTCTCAATATGTTCAACTCTGTCGCCATCTTGATGGATGGCAACACTTAAGTAAAACCATGTTATTATTAAATTAGAAAATTTAGACATGTTCACAGAAGTCCACCATCTTACCCTGTACTGAACCAGCTTAATCCAACATACACTTTCACATCACATTTCTCTAAAAACTATTTTAATATTAACCTCCCATCTATGCCTAGGTCTTCTAAATCTCATAGTGAAAATTTCCATGAAGGATATGACATGGAATTAATTTTGTATTAAACTCAAATAAACATTGCCATTTCACAGGCAAATAGTAACCCACCAAAAAGTCCCTCGCTCCAAGGCATTATTGCTATTAACAACAAGAACGACTACACTGCTCTAGGCATATAAATTCAAGATACCCCCACATATCATTTTATAATAAATTCATTAATGTCGAGTTTAACAAATGTAACATACATACAAGTCACATATACTAACCACTTGCAAAAAATGTTACTCTATTCAATTTATGCTTTATAATTCACAGGAATATAATTCCTACTTATAAACAGTGTTATAAAGCAAATATTTTTCATTATGATACAGGCCAACATACAGTGCTCCAATTTTTTACCACAATATTGTGGGTTTCAACTGATGACACCCCAACTGATAGTAATACAATATTTTTATTTCACTGTGTACTATTAATTTATATGTATGCACCGATCCTGTAACAATGGCAGAGTTGAATATTAAGACGAGTGACACTCAAAGCATGGGTAGGAGACCATCGAAGCAACCAGTGCGAATTTAGCACAGAGAAGCAAACACCAGTGAAAAACAAATAGAGACCTTAATGTTTTAAAGAAACAAATCACAAATCAAAATCAAAGCTAAAGATTCTGATTACAATTATAGATTATTCAGTCAGCTTCTGCTGATTACTCACAATGACTTTATTGTGTCTAATCCCTATTAGAAATTAAAAGAATTTATTATACCTACAGTGTATTCAATGTCTTCTTTGATTTGCATATAAAATAATACAATTTTTTCCTTATCACTCCTGCATTGAATTTTATCAGCCTGTTTCCTGCAGCAAACCACTGCCATTAGATAGACTGAGGATATTTGGTGGCTGTGCTGCTAAGGCCAACATAAAGCTGCAAATAATTCTCATTGTATATTGTTGCATGGAGCAATACAATTTATACTTCCATGGAATATAAAACATATTGCTTAATGAAACATGGCAGTTGCTTCTGGTTATTACTCTTTGAGTTTTAAGATTTCTATTATAATGTCCTGTTAATTATTCACCTCAGTTTTACCAAAGCAGGGCGCATTTATAACCTAAAACTTATTAAAATGTGTGTGAAACTTCTATCATTTTAACTCCATGTGATAAGAAACAGGAAATCATACTCTTCTACAAATTATACAAGAAAAGTGTTTTCCAACTGGTAGACTGCAGTTAAATATGTCTACAATTTTTTAATATTATATACATTCTATTATTATTTTATAAGTAACTTTTCTTTTGATCTTTGTTTTATTCTATTAGTAAAACAATTTCTGTTAGGCATTATTATTTTTATTTCCTTGCTACCTTTTGCTGAACGCAATGTTTAGACTGGGCGAGTGGCATGGAAGAGGACATAGTTTGGTGTTGGTCACTGCCTCTTCAGAAACGATAAGGTGGTGGCTCGTTATAAACCCCCCATACCCTTGGCTGAAATATTATTTCATATGTCCTCACATACAGATTTTAATTATTAATGTTCAATGTGAGTTATTATTATTAACTTGACCTTTTTAAAGTTGTGTCTTGTTTGGATTTGTTTCTTTGCACAATCAACTCTATCCAAAATAACCTTACTTAACCCCTTAATAAACATGTAACAGATACCAAACATAATACAGAAATGAAGAATATATTGAAACTAAATGTGATTTCCTTTCATCCTAGTCCACGAGCAACAACACAAACAAATTAACTAAGACTTCATTAAGTGAAGAGTAATATATGAGGGTGTCAGATATCAACACATGCATGAGACTGATTTACCAGCTACACCATATGTCATGTTCCCATGAATTTTGGTTATGGGGTTAACAAGTATCATGAAAATGTTAAAACATGTGAAATAATTTAAAGGTCTGCACATACAGGAAGCAAAAATTAAAAGCTTTCCTACTGGTAATCTTCACGAAGCACTTACAGCAACAATTCCTAATGCTAATCAGATACGGGTTGATAAATGGATCGTGGAAGGAATCCAGGAAGCAATGGCGTATACATAAGTGAAAGAACAACGGTGGGCAGACAGGGAAGAATGATGGATCAGAATTGGTATATGTCAGCGATGTTAAGAAACTGACACATACAACTTTTACTTACCACTCCGTTGTTTATCTACAACACCGAGCTCTGATACTGCCGTTATGCTCCCGTGTTTAATGTCACACGGAGTCACTGAGGCAGATGCGCCCACATTCTTCCAAGCACCACCAGACTCATTTCCTGGCTTTCCAGATGCATTCTTCATCTTAGTGACATCCCCATGACTTGTTGTGAGTTTCACCAGATTAACATTGCACTGTGGTAGTTTGAGGCCCTTTGTAACAACGTTACTATTGTTACAAGTAACTGGAGATGGTTTGAATTTGGCGCATGTCAAGATTCGACTGGCTGTTAATGTCGGTGGTTTCAAAATATCTGGTTTTGAAGCTTTCAACTTGGGGGCTGCAATATCGTCATCAGTATCGAACCTCGGACATTGACGTGCGGTCAGTTCAGTAACCTGAAGACAGCACACAAGCATTCAAATGCTTGATACTACTAGTTCTAAGCCATCTGAAACTGGTATATACAATAAACATAACTCTATGAATGCTTAACAAGTCTAATTAATCTAAAACATAATTTTCAAGGGATGAATAAAATGATACACTCACAATGCTTACCTTCTCAAGCACAGGCGGTGGCAATTCTCGAGACGATGCTAGCAGAGGTGCACGCCCAACCCTGAGCTTTGGAGCTGCTAAACCTGTACCACCAGGGGGTGATAGTGGTGGAGAATCGAGGCACAGCTTGTTGCACTTTTTCCTTGGTCGGCCTGGACCCCTCTTCACTGGGCTGACGGTCTGAGGAGCATCCGACACTTCATTTGCTGTCACATCTGACAGTGATGATTTCTTGGGAGTGAGTTTAGAAAGTTCACGTTGCTTTTCACGATACTTGCGTTGTAGTTCTGCTAACTTCATACGCATGTTCAGTTCCATAGCATCCATGATTTCAGCAGATGACAAGGACGGACTCGAACACAATGAAACTACTTTCTGTGATTGTAACATTTGCTGTGAACAGTGCTGTGGACTGCTTGACCCACTGTTATTTCCTGTGCCACTATGATGGTAATACTGCATTACCTTGCTTGCAATATATTTCTTACATTCCTGTTCCGACTTCCTTGTCTTGTAGTTACGGTTAACATCCACGCCTGCCCCAGCAACTTCTGGGGGAGATTCTAACGACTTGACCGAAAGACACGGTGAAGAGGAATTATGGACGTCGTCACCAGTCAATCCAGATGACTCTGGTTTTGATGCGGAGTTCTCACTAGCTGTGGCAACCTCCTCCATGAACCTCTGTTCTGCCAAAGCGCACAATAAACCAAGACCACCGAGCATGTTACTTCCCTCATTCAAACTTCTTCCCATTGTTTCTACTCTCTCGCAAACCTGGTTTAAGCACATATCACCCCACACCTTACCACATTCTACATTATTATTTGAACTGTTATTCAAATCATCTGCGTGTATCTGGCCGGATGTTACGTTCAAGACTTTGTTATCACAGTTTTCACCGAAGACCTGTTCACCATCGTTAAATGTAGCGTTCAGATGCTCTGTCACTGTTAGTCCCTCAACAACAGAAGATTTCATTTGACTGACTGCTGACTGTTGACAAAGCATCTGTAATGTTTCGGCTGCCTTCTCATCTGCTGGTCGTAAATCTGAAAGTTCTCGTTTCATATCAGATAATGAACTGCTTGAACATGCTGGTAACTTGGATGAGTCTTGAGAAGAATCCATGCCAGCAGTGGTCAAAGAGTTACCATCTTGTGGTAACCCATCACTGTGATAGGTATGATGATTCACAAACTGTTCAATGCTATTTGATAGCAGTTCAAGACCACTCAAGTCCACCACATGACCATCAACTGGTTGTGGTTTTGCATCACATGAAGAGCTTTCAGGTATTTCCTGCTTTGGCTGTAGGTATCAATGAATAAATAAATGTATTTAAATTATAATAAAGTACAAATATATTGATTAAAATGGGCAGCCTTAGAAATATAATTCATAAGCATTACAAATAGGAGGTTTTATACTCACTAAGACAAAATCTTATCCGAGAAATATGACTTTGACCAGCATTTTTTATTAAATTTCAATGACTTTTTTTTAAATTTCTTGTATATAATCTATAATTTTTTTTAAGTTTTAACTTAACTATAAAAATTAGCATAAGTTATAAAGTCTACAGCTTTAATTTTGGTATGGTTTTACATCAGCACAAATTGCAACTTTCTGAAAATTGTATTTTTGTTTCTGAAAATTTTAGGGCTCATATCCCTTTATCCTGGCACTGGCAAAATAATGCGTAGATTTAGAGTGAATACTTTAAGTCACTGCATACACCAGTCATAGCATTCTATAATTTAATGACGACCAATATTGTAACCAGAATAACAATCCAGAAATTTTAAGTTGTTTGACATGAGGTGTTTATGTACATTAATCAGCCACAAAGGAACATCTCAAATGACATGTAGACTGTTTGAAAAATATCAAATTGATGATTATCAGAACTAACCACGCTGTTACTAAGAATTTGGCATACATATAAAGATAACTTCAAAGGAGAAAATACCAGCGCCACAATGACCCATCATGACAGTGCCTGGGACTTGTCGAGCCTCGACGAAGAACACACACATTTAGAACTACCAGATTCTGACCCGTAGTACTTACCTGCAGGTCACGTACATGCAGTTTCTCTTGGATGGGGCCAGAATCAGAGCAGTTTTCATCCTCACTGACAGGTGGTGTGTCGGTCTGATTGCTCGCGTCCTGCACTGTTATGGGAGCCGGGAGCTGTGCGATTCCCTGGTCCAATGTCGCGCACACCGCTGAAGTTGTCGAGCTAGAATTTGCATCTTCACATTCTGAATGGCTGGTTGCAGCCTCAGGAGGTGGAGTCA